GTGATGATGATCTAGGTGGGTACCTATGTATGGACAGTATCCCTCTCAAACCTCAAACACGGTTCCAAGAACGGCTGAATTCCTTTCAGTCTTGGCCTGTGCAGATGAAACAGAGTCCTAGTCAAATGGCCCGGGCAGGATTTGTGTACTTAATCAGAGGAGACGCTTGCAAGTGTGTTCAATGTGGTGATGTTCTCAAGAAGTGGGACACAGAGGATGATCCTTGGGTCGAACATGAAAAATGGTCTGCAAACTGTCCATGTTTGGCCCTGGTAAGAGTACCTCAGAAAGAGGTGGTCCGCTGGGGTAGTCATGTAGATTTACATGTGAAAGAGTGTGATGTTCTTGTACAATACTGTGTGTATTTGTGACTATTTGAGAATACATCAATATTGGTTGTCATTGGTTGATGTGGTGTATAAAAGTCCTAACAAAAGGTAGGTGAAGGGAGAGCAGAGCGGCACAGTGGAAGCGCACTTGGCTCATAACCCAGAGGACCGTGGATTGAAACCACGCTCTGCTAACAACATGTTTTTAGGAGTTAGAATTAGGGCTAGCAGATATCTATATAAAGGACAGAAACGGTGATTTAGCTTTATTTAACCGTGGACCAGTGATAGTGACACTTCATCTGAAACCTCTGTGTGAGAGTCAGTATTCAACTGGAACAAGAAAATGAACAGAAGATACTGGAGACCCTATCTGGACGACCCTAAGAAATGGACCAAATATTACTATTTGCAGGCTAAAGGATATCCCAATCCCTTTACTAACGTTGATGATTATGTGATCTATTATGAGAAGCAGGGCGTCAAGATGGACCTACCCCCTTCTACAGACACGTTTGCTCTCACGTCTCCCACCCAACAAGTCGTTCAACAGGCTAAAGCCAAGTTGAAGAGAGAAAGGGAAAGTGTCGTCCATAGGGAACACACAATTGAAGCAGTGTCAACAAAGCGAATGAAAACAGATTTTTAAATAGAGACAAAAAGCTAAATGTGTCATTTGTAGTAGGACTGTCGACGTGGGAACATCATTATGCATCCCTCTCCCGTATGCTCCAAACAATATGTTTGTGCTCATGACTTGTCCCGTCATATTCAAACAAAACATTCAGGAGAAGATATCAAGCAGCAGCACCAGCAGCAGCAATAACAAAAGCAGCAGCAGCAACAACAAAAGCAGCAGCAGCAACAAAAGCAGCAGCAGCAGTAACAAAAGCAGCAGCAACAACAACAAAAGCAGCAGCAGCAGCAGCAACCAGTACAACCACATTCATCAGAAAGTACTACTCAGTCTTTGGAAGAATTTAGACTAATACATTCATTCACTATGATCGTCTCAGGGCCCACCTCCTGTGGAAAAACCTACTGGATGGATGAACCTAATGGATGAACATTAAACCTTATCCTGAACGTATTTTTTGGCTCTACAAACGATGGCAGCCCTTATATAACATCATTCAAACCCATGTTTATCCCTATGTGGAATTTCATCAAGGCATTCCTTCTGACCTGGAAAAGGATGCGTTTCTGGACCCCCATGTGGTGAATGTGGTTATCCTCGACTACTTAATCTCGACAGCGAGCAAAGATCCATGCATTACAGATCTGTTTACGGAAGGAAGTCATCATCGTAATCTCTCAGTGATAGCCTTGAACCAGAATTTGTATTTCAGTAAGGATCCCACACAACGAAGAAACTATGGAGTCCTATGGTGTTTATGTTTTGAAACAACACAACAAAACGCACCATCCGTAAAATACCCGTATTTAACATCATGATTGTCAATTTCGGCGTGTAGTGTCACAGAATACACAATTCACATGCAATGCACGTGAAAGTTGGGGATCAGATAGTCTCAATGATGGGTATAAAAGGTTGATCGCTGTCCGTCGAGTATTCACTGTATTTGGAATATTGTTGACGAACGCAAAATGCCACGTCTAAGTGAAGCCTACCGTCATATCGCCATTGGTTTGCTTGAAGCTGGCCAGTCTCCACATGCAGTTGCCCTACGCATGAATGTTCACCAAAGAACCATTTCACGTCTCTGGGAGAGATATCGCCGGCAGAATGCGGTAGCAGATGCCCCTCGTCGTGGGCGACCTCGAGCGACCACTGCGGCGCAGGATCGCTACATCCGGGTACATCACCTCCTTCATTGAACAGCTACGGCGACCAGTACCGCTCGACAAATACCCGGATTGAGGAGGCTTTCTGCACAGACCGTCAGGAACAGGTTGAGAGAGGCTGGTTTACGTGCCAGAAGACCTTATTTTGGCCCTCTGCTTCAACAACAACATCGTCGACATCGAGTTCAATAGTGCACCAACGTTCAGGCCTGGAACCTACCGAATTGGCGTAGAATCTGGTTCAGTGAATCACGATTTCTATTGGAACGACGTGATGGAAGAATGCGGGTGTACAGACGTTGACATGAACGTTTCGCCGACGCTTGCGTTCCTCAGGTGGACAGATTCGGCCGGGGAAGTGTTATGATGTGGGGAGGGAACACCTGCCATAGGAGAAGTGATTTGGTGATGATCCAGGGCAACCTTACAGCTCAACGGTCTGCATCCCCAGTGTGCAATTTCGCGATATTTCATTTACTCATAAAGCCTACAAGATGTTTCAAAATAAACATATAAATACAGTTGAAATGCCTATATGCGTTTCTTTTTTGGGAGACTATATATTGCATTGAACAAATGTGTTATAAAACCCTTGAACTGAACCCGTATAATTTCTTTTACACATATGTGCGCACATGTTAGACTAGACTAACGTTTAGTCTCTGAATATATAATTTTGATAGTAACAAACAAAGCTATTTAAATTGAAAGGGAGTCCCAGAAGACCTGGGTGGAAATCTAGACTTCATTTAGAGCCTTAGCACTGCAGGGAGGACTAGGCTGTAGGGAAATAATATGGTTCAGGGACCGTGAGACAGGCTAATGCTAGACCAGCGATTTTGAATACAACTTGAGGAGGTATCATATTGCACCTTGGCTGAGTGAGACGAGGGAAGTGTGGAGGCAGCGAGTTTAATTCACCATGCCTCAACGGCGCACGCTTTGAGATTTGAGAAAAACTGATTTTCTCCAAAGGCGACAGAAAAGGTTATTGAGTATGGAAAATATAAACATTTTGTAAAAAGACATGTAGTTAGGGATAACCTCAACTCACTGTCAGAGGGGGTTTATATAGGTAGAATTGAAACCAGATGAAACTAGTCTGTGGTCAGCGGTCCAGTGAGATCGATAGTTGCTCTATGCTGATTGGTCCAAATTAATGGCATGATGTCATGGTGTGATGCTATGATATGTCATCCGTTTCCAATGGGGTACACAGTCATTGACCCCCGTCAGCCTGAGTCACACCGGAGTGAGGTCGATAGTTGCTCTTTGCTGATTGGTCAAAATTAATGGCGTGATGTCATAGTGTGATGCTATGATGTCACGCCGGATCCGTTTCCAACGGGGTACACAGTCATTGACCCCAGTCAGCCTGAGTCACACCGGAGTGAGGTCGATAGTTGCTCTTTGCTGATTGGTCAAAATTAATGGCGTGATGTCATAGTGTGGTGCTATGTCACACCGGATCCGTTTCCCAAGTGTGTGTGTGTGTGTGTGTGTGTGTGTGTGTGTGTGTGTGTGTGTGTGTGTGTGTGTGTGTGTGAGCCAGGTGTTTAACTGGGTCACCAACATGGCGGATTTGGGACTGTTTTCTCCAAGGTCATTGTGAGGTCATGCTTCTAGGCTATGCCTAATCACTTCACACAGGTGGTGATGACGTCATAAAATCAAAATGCCGGATATTCGTCTATTCCAGCCCCTATACAACAGTCCCCCGCCGTAATATTGATGGGAACACCCTCTGACATTGAAGATGCGCATGTAAAGACATTATATGATGCGCATGTAAAATGTTAATTTTACTTCTGCAAACATTCTTTCAGTCAGGACGGCTACATTAAATTGATAATATGAATCACATTCAAAATTGAAAGTTGCTTTTTTTTACTTTGATTCCAGGTTATGCTATTTTGAGAAATCAGAATATTTGGATAATATTAATGTCTGATGTCAGTTGTTGGACCTAATGACGGATCATGATGTATAAGGTTAGCGATTCTGTTCATGTGTTTTAAGACAAGGCACATACATGGCATGTAACACGTGGCATGTAACACATACGTAACACATTTTACAGCCATATTCTGCTGAAATACAGTCATGAATATATTTTAATAATTTTACGCTTTGCGATACAGGAAACATGAATATAGTGTACCTTGCCGCTCCAAACATATTGCCCTGGTACAATGCAGATCCATCAAAACGCATCAACGGGGGTGAGATAGCCTAGTGGTTAAAGCGTTCGCTCGTCACGCCGAAGGCCCGGGTTCGATTCCCCACATGGAGGCAATGTGTGAAGCCTTTTTCTGGTGTCCCCCGCGGTGATAATTCTGGAATATTGCTGAATCGGGTGGTCAGACTTGCTGACTTCGTTGGCACATGCCATCGTATTCCAGTTGTGTAGATTGATGCTCATGCTGTTGATCACTGGATTGTCTGGTCCTACTCTCGCTTATTTACAGACCGACGCCATATAGCTGGAATATTGCTGACTTGGTTGGCACATGTCATCGAATCTCAATTTCGTGGATAGATGCTCATGATGTGAATCACCGGATTGTAAGGTCCAGATTATTTACAGAGCACAGTCACATTCCTGGCACAGGGCTGAGTGCGACGTTAAACAACTAACAAACAAACAAACAAACTAAAACCTAACAACTCACAAACTCTCCACAAGACAACAAATCACTCGCGTTGAGTATCCTAGTGGTTAAAGCTTTGGCTTGTCACACCAAAGACCTGGGTTCAATACCAATTTCTGGCGTCTCTCACAGTGATATTGCTGGAATGTTGCTGGAATGTAAAACCACACACACCCTTTCTTGTTGCACAGGTGCCACATTCCCACCACTATCGCTGGAACTAACCTTGCCGTAGATTCAACCGACCCACCTGTCCAATTACCGTTACATTCACGGGACGGGCCCCTCTAGCTGAAGTGACCCCATACACCAGGATGAATCTAGGTACGTTACACACCCTCCGTGGCCTGCCTTCTGATTGTATGTTGTTTAATGTCGCACTCAGTAATAGACTACACACGGCGAGCAGGTGCAAGTCGCATAACCTACTTCGATCAAGGCCATGTTTCAGCCGATCATTTTACTCCCCCGTGCTGTTGTCATTTAGTGTGAAAGCATTAACCTGGCCTTAAAACGACTCGACTGAATACAAATACATGTACCCTAAACAATGCACGCTGGGATACTTGATACTTGATACTGGATAGACTGGTTTCAAGGTGTCCGTTTATACCGGGGATCCAGCTAAAGTGGATCCGGTTGCTTTGTTTAATCAGAGACCATATAATAGAGTCGGAATCATCTCAGTGAATGAATTAAGTCGTCCATGGCCATGCCGAATGTTGAAACAAACATTCCAGGCTTATGGCGACACGCATTTCGCGAATGATACATGTTCTGCGATGTTGTCAGTGGACATGTGCAAATGAGAGATAAGATAAAAATTAAGATTATTGTAATCAGTTTATTGGAGCTGTGCATGTAATGTTTAACTGTCAATCGCAGCCGGTGAAATACCGCTAAGGGAATTAACTCTCGGCTCGGATATTACGCAATATTGTTTACGTGGTTACCAGAGTGCTCATTTGCGAATGTCTGCGCATCTGTTGCGCATGTGTACCGGTAGAGGGAAGTTAGCAGCAGGGTGTCGATGTGTATCAGTAACATGCCAGGCCGTAGCGCTGATGGTTAGTGATAAAGTGTTGGGGAGGGCCGTCCCTCTATTATATGGTCTCTGCTTTAATCTGTGTCCCCGTGTCCCGATGGTAGTGATCGCATGACGTGCACTCATTCCTGCATAGAAAGTCAGAAAAGAATTGGAACATCACCGGATTCTGGGTGGGATGAAGGGTGCGTGAACATGATCACGAACGCATGGACGCACATGTATGGAGTGAAGTGAATGCTTACCCATTTGAATATTGACAAAGACGATAGAATATTTTCCTGGCCCACTTATACGATTACTGAAGTCCAGAACCAAATGACATAGGGCACCATTCATTTTTAAAAGAATCTGTATCCCCACTTCCCGATCCTACCCAGAGTTCCTATCATATGGTCCCTGGTTTGGGTATCTATCCTTTGTTTACTATGGTTCAGTTTGGGTATCTATCCTTTGTTTACAATGGTTCAGATTGAGTATATATCCTTTGTTTACAATGGTTCAGTTTGAGTATCTATCCTTTGTTTACAATGGTTCAGTTTGAGTATCTATCCTTTGTTTACAATGGTTCAGTTTGAGTATCTATCCTTTGTTTACAATGGTTCACTTTAAGCATCTATCCTTTGTTTACAATGGTTCAGTTTGAGCATTTCATTTGTTTACAATGCTTCAGTTTGGGTATCTTCCTTTGTTTTCAATGGTTCTGTTTGAGTATCTATCCTTTGTTTACAATGGTTCAGTATGCGTATCTATCCTTTGTTTTCAATGGTTCAGTTTGAGTATCTATCCTTTGTTTACAATGGTTCAGTTTGAGTATCTATCCTTTGTTTACAATGGTTCAGTTTGGGTATCTATCCTTTGTTTACAATGGTTCAGTTTGGGTATCTATCTTTTGTTTACAATGGTTCAGTTTGAGTATCTATCCTTTGTTTACAATGGTTCAGTTTGGGTATCTATCCTTTGTTTACAATGGTTCAGTTTGGGTATCTATCTTTTGTTTACAATGGTTCAGTTTGGGCATCTATGCTTTATTTACAATGGTTCAGTTTGAGCATTTCATTTGTTTATAATGCTTCAGTTTGGGTATCTTCGTTTGTTTTCAGTGGTTCTGTTTGAGTATCAATCCTTTGTTTACAATGGTTCAGTATGCATATCTATCCCTTGTTTTCAATGGTTCAGATTGAGTATATATCCTTTGTTTACAATAGTTCAGTTTGGGTATCTATCCTTTGTTTACAATGGTTCAGATTGAGTATCTATCCTTTGTTTACAATGGTTCAGTTTGAGTATCTATCCTTTGTTTACAATGGTTCAGTTTGAATATCTATCCTTTGTTTACAATGGTTCAGTGTGGGTATCTATCCTTCGTTTACAATGGTTCAGTTTGAGTATCTATCCAGAGTTTACAATGGTTCAGTTTGAGTATCTATCCTTTTTACAATGGTTCAATTTGGGTATCTATCCTTTGTTTACAATGGTTCAGTTTGAGTATCTATCCTTTGTTTACAATGGTTCAGTTTGGGTATCTATCCTTTGTTTACAATGGTTCAGTTTGGGTATCTATCCTTTGTTTACAATGGTTCAGTTTGAGTATCTATCCTTTGTTTACAAAGGTTCAGTGTGGGTATCTATCCTTTGTTTACAATGGTTGTAAAAGTGAACATTCTGTTCCAGCTTTTTTCGTCACGTGTGTCTTCGCCTCTGTGATACTTCTCCAAAGTGAAGAATTACCAGGGAAGGGAGGTAACCGTAAACAGCAACCCAACCCAGTGGTGACCAGCCTGTTTGCGAGGGCGTGGTCCCGGGATGCAGCTGCCTCGCCCCAGATGAGCAGACTCACTAGTTTCTGTGTGACAGAGGCGTGCATCAGGCTAATGTTGGAATATGAAAAAGTCGTCCAGCAGAACGGTTCGGGGGTTTATCCGGGCAGATTCGGATAGTTCATCAGCCTAGCTCCTGTACCACATCACAGTCTCCTCAATCGATTATCACAATCAGCATTAAAATTATTAACGGCTGATCCAAAAATGTTTCATAGCAGTTCTCCTGTTAGTCATGTTTCGTGACTGATCTACTAACTGATTTACTATTACATCTTAGCTGATCAACAGCTGATCTACTATTACGTCTTAGCTGAGCTACTATTGCGTCTGAGGCGATCTGATCTACTTTTGCGTCTGAGATGATCTACTATTGTGTCGTAGCTGATCTACTATTGCGTCATAGCTGATCTACTATTGTGTCATAGTTGATCTACTATTGTGTCATAGGTGATGTACTTTTGCGTCTTCTCCAACATGTTTCACTTTTATCTTCAGGGAGAAATGATTACAGTTAAACAGGTTATGTTATTCAAACACATTGCGTTTATTATTATACTTGTTTTCATTGTGCTACCAGTACTGTCAATTTAAAGCCGCCAATGTGACGTCATGGCAACGCCGTGTCACAACATTTGTATACAGTTGCATTGTGACGTCATGACAAAGTGACGTCAAAACATAATCTGTTAAGGAGATACACCACACTCCGGCACAGCGATGACTTAACATAACATCACTGCCACAGGCTAATTTGCATACCACGTGACCGGAATTTTCTCTTGTTTGTAATCAAACGCGCATATTCATAATAAGAAGAGACTGGACTCACGAAAGCTTTTCGGCGCTCTCTTCATAATGTTTTACATTGTTACATATATATTCTTCCACAACTGCGACAGTAAGGTCTATGACAGTACATATTTAGACATCAAACTGGCTGCATCGTTTGCTCTCCATCAGCTTCGATGACAGCACGTGGAGCCGTACAACCTATGTAAACAAAGGATCGCTACGCAAATCGAAATAGTGTTACATGTTTTAGGATATTTTCTCAATGAAACTAAACCATTCTATCAAAGATGTTTAATTAGTTGTGTAGACTCGTCAAAAATAAAAGAGTTGAGAAATATGTCAATTATATTGAATGGACGGTGCAAGATGTGACGAATCGTCACATTTTTCTGGCCTGTGGCAGAGATACTATGCTGGCTTGCCGCATGGAACTCTGGGTAGGAGAGTGGAGATAAACATCATGTGTTGGCGAATTTCCGGGTGTTATTGAGTATTTGAAGCACGGGAATATTTCATTTGAAACCTCCGGCCGACGCCGTCGGTTCATTTGGAAACATGAAAAACACGCCTTATCTGCGCAGTACAGTCACATCGCAGCAGTATTTTAAAAGAACCCAGTGGTCACAAGCCGAGACGAATTCTGCACCACGAAAACAAAATATGTAAGACTTGGCCAATTCGGTCTTCCATAGTTGTTTTATTACGTCGGCAACATTTCATTAGAGTCACGTGATGTTTATGCTTGGCTTTTCATTCTAGCAGACGATGGTCCGCTTAACAAGTTACGAGCTTTATTTAAAATTTATGAGGGTGTAAAATTGAATACGGGAGCTTTTATGAATATCCACACATCCGGGTGAAACACTGGGGCTGGTAGGGTAGGGAAACTGACTTAAATGTTAAAGATCCACTGCCACCTCTTCAGTAAAATATTTAAAACCCATAAAAAACATTGATTACTTGTCGCTTGAGTATGGATAAAACAATACGACTTATCTCACTTTCCTCTATTTCCTTTCATGTACGCTTCATCTCTCACTCCTGGTCGTCTTACCAGGTGTGTCTCATGCACATACGTGGGGTGTGAGTGAGTGAGTGAGTATGGTTTTACGCTGTTGTTTTGCAATATTCCGGCAATATCAAGGCGAGGGACACCAGAAATGTTCGTCACGTAAAAGAAGCCCAATTTCGTGATAATGCTGGAATATTGCTAAAATCGGTGTAAAACCACTCACTCACTCACTCAGGCATACCTCTCTGCTAATATACTGAGAGAAAAAAAATAAGGGATCGCATAAAATTTCAGATTTTATTCACGTCGAACATAACAGACTTGATCCATTGTTTTCAGCTTAAATGAAGAAAGTCAGTATGAAGCATGCCTTCCACGTGCTCTCCCAACTGTCTGGGCATACTTCCTATCAAATTATGTCATTTAGATATCATTCTCAAAGATAAATGTGGTCCTGTATATTTTGTCTTCAGTATATATATACTTATAACTAAATGTTACTATCACTATTAATACTAATATTCACCAGGCAGCGGTGACTTAATGCTCTTGAAATGTACATGTCTTAATTTCTTGGGCCATTTAAGAATTGAGGTTTTCTTCAAGGCCGAACCTGCCACTGAAAGTAGCACACCACCTCCTCACGATAATATTGGAAGAAGCATCTTTCTTTTCTCAAGTGTTATAATCACATCTTTGAGAGCTTTTGACGTCGAAAGGGGTGGCTGGGTGCGTTCGTTTGAAGACCCGGGTTCGATTCCCTACTTGGGTGCAATTTGTGAAGCCAATTTCTGGTGTTCTCCGTCGTGATATTGCTGGAATATTGCTAAACGCGGCGTAAAACTAAATCCACTCACTTTGACGTCGAGTCATTTTTCCATGTAAACTCTGCCCGTCATTCGTTTGTCAATTTGGCACCAAGGATGTCATATTACAAGGGACAAGCCATGGTATGTTTATTGTGGACAGAACTCTCGGTAAATGTGCATCATTTGAAATGATATAATGCAAAAACTAAATTAATTATTTGTAATATCTGTACAGTTTTGGCCATGAAACTGCTTGACAAACACTTTTTGAGCAAGACAAAATATGTTGAATTTCGCATAAGCTTGCACTTTAAGTTTGTCGATTTTCCGAATATCACATACCACTGCTGGTTTTACTGACTTGTCACAGGCATCTGACTCGTGGATGTTTTGATAAACCCCAAGATATCACGTCATGCCCAAAGTTTTCACCAGCACATAACTTCTTATAGCTGGAATATTGCTCAGTGCTGTCGTTAAACAACAAACAAATCAACCTTATATGAGGCTCTGAACGTGTGAGTCTTCCCTCCTACTTCTCAACAACGTGAAGATCCGGTCTTCAGAACACATGCTTGTAAAATGCGGCTAACGGGATCGGGTGGTCAGACTTGGTGAACACATGTCATCGTATCCCAGTTGCGTAAGTCGATGCTCGTGTTGTTGATCACTGGATTGTCTGGTCCAGACTCGATCATTTACATATAGCTGGACTGTTGCTGAGTGCGTCGTGAAACAACAAACCAACCAATTAAACAAATCATGTTTTACTTAAATTACTAACGCCCTTGAACGAATGCGGCTGGTAAACAGTCTTGCTGTTCCTTTGATCCTATCTATTTTAATACAGGAGTGTACAATGCGAGTTGCTGTGTTCTCTTTTTAGGTCCACCGGTAATTTAACAAGCTGGCTGAAAGAAAAGCTGACAGGGTTTGCTTTTTAAAAAAAAAATTTACGCCGCTTTTAGCAATATTCCAGCAATATCACAGCGGGGGACATCAGCAAAGCGTTTCACACATTGTACCCATGTTGGGAATCGAACCCGGGTCTTTGATGTGACAAACGAACGCTTTAACCACTAGACTACCCCGCCGTCCATGTCCGGTTTGCGCAGATCGTACGTTCCATACAACTAGTTGAGTGCATTACGATACTACACGAGTGAATTTCAAATCTCCTCTGTGCGTAATACTTCCTTTCCAGAATAAAACTAATGTTACGGTAGACGGCTACAATGCAGGTAACTATATATATAGCATGTGGTAGTTATTGCCTCAACAGATCACCATACACACTTTGATCAGCAAACAAAATGACCGCCAGGTGGATACAATCGACCTTTGATCACATAGTATATAACGTGTATAGGGAGGCGGAGATATTAATAATTACAATGGCAGTTTTCAAGGTAAGCATATTAAATTAGAAAATATCCAGTTAAAGACATGAATGGATGTTGTTTCATGACACTGACATACCGTTACAGCTCATAAACAGCTCATAAAATGGCGCAACCTCGACCGCCGCGTGGATACAATCGACCTTGAGTCGTATAAAACGTGTACAGGAAGGCTGAGGTATTGACAATTACAATGGCAGTTTTCAAGGTAAGCATACTATATCACAAAATATCCAGTTAAGACATGAATGGATGTTGTTCCACGTCGCTGACAGTGTTTGGCAAGTGTAATACTGGTTTCGTTGACTATGTTGTCAATGTGCATGCATGTCCCTACCACCACCACGGCGGCCGTAACGATGCAGTCACATGTGTTAATGCATCCGCTGAGCTTAACGCCTGTCAATATTCAAACCTTACCAGTTCAGAGCAAAACCGTACTTTATATAAGAAATACGGTTCGCTCATGTATATATATATAGAACGTCATACTAGTGCATTTGGATGTTTTGTATTGAACGAGAAGATGTTATGGGAGTACAGAATCATCGAGTTCGAAGAAGGAGTTGTTTCTCTGCTCCCATGACATCTTCTCGTTCAATAAAAAAACATCCAAATGCACTAGAATGACGTTCTATATTTATTATATATCCTCTTATATTGCATTAATCTGTTACTTAATAAAACAAATCATAGCGTAGCGGCAGGGGTTCAATACGGAATCTGGGGTGCAATACGGAATTTGACCACGCCATCCGTATTGCACCCCTGTATTGCTATCCTTATAAGTTTACATAGGTATATAACAAAGTGCAACATACTACAAACAAAAAGTATGGGAACACCCTAAAATATGATGTCCATATATAAATATACTTAAACGCTGAGACGTCATTTATACTCTAAGGTATATGCAACTTTTTGTGTGCTTAATGGGCACTATAAACGACATGTTTGAATATGCAGGGAAGCAACTGATTCAATAATTGTTGAGTTTGAGTGAACTGAAACACTTCATAAAAAAGTGAAAAACAAGGGTGCTGAAACACACCAGCGCCATGTTTGATTCAAACACCCAAACACAGCAGCCTAGTGCATGTGGAAAGCATGCAGTTTGTGGCAACAGTAAGTTGCAGAAAGTTCAGTGGTGTAACAGGCAGGATATCAAAAAATATCAGTGGTGTAACATGCA